TTTCAAGAATGAGGTATCTGAATGCAGAAGAGCTAATTTGATGTGTGACCGGTCACTGCCTACGTAGTACGTGGATTTTCTCGTTTGCATGCTTTGTATGGATTTAAGGTTTCAAGATGAGGTATCTAAATGCAGAAGAGCTAATTTGATGTGTGACCGGTCACTGCCTACGTAGTACGTGGATTTTCTTGTTTGCATGCTTTGTATGGATTTAAGGTTTCAAGAATGAGGTATCTGGATGCAGAAGAGCTAATTTGAGGTGTGACCGGTTACTGCCAATGGACGCGCCCGTACATGTTTGTGGGCGTTTCAGAGCCCGAATTTGCTGTCCGCGACTGTAGATGCTCTAAGTCCCATGGGTACCAGGTCGTCAATTTTAACAACAAAATACGAGTTATATGTCATGACTGGTATACTATGGGGACATATTGCCGGTGGGAGGGCTTCGTTTTTAGATTTTTTTTTTTGAGCTTTGTTAGGCTTTGGATCCTGCTCAGGAATGTGAGACGGCGGCGGCTCCCTGAAGATGGAATAAAGGTCTTTTCTCCTAACCCCGTTCCGATGATGCGTCAAGCATCATCGGTGGGCGTGTGTAGGTGTGTCTTCGGCGGATCTTTCTTTGGCGGATTTGCTCGGATCTGTTCGGCGTTCGTCTCGGTTCGTGTGTCTTCAAATTGGATCATTTTGATTTACACTCTTCATCCGCGGTGGTTGCTGTTCTGGTGTGTTGGTTCTATGAGGCTTTAGCACGACGACTTCCCGACTGTCTACTACAATAAGGTTTGCCCGACCCCGGTAGGGAAGGGCGATGACAGCGGCGCGCCTTCATCTCGCTTCAGTGTTTGTAGTCGTTGATAGGTGGTGTACGGATCATGATGTAATTTTTTTTAATGTTCGTTGTACTACCATGATTGAAGATGCATAGATTGAAAATTGTTCCCGCAAAAAGAAAAGATTGTCGCAGGGTAATGACGTGGCTATATACGACATCCATTACCCAAAGCGGAGGAGTTTGAGAAGGTTGTAATCGACATTTACCCCTCGAGGCGAGTGACGTCATGGCACATGAAGTAGTTTTTTTTTTTGAGGGAAATGAAGTAGTGAGTTTGGCCAGGTGGTCCGCATCGGCAATTCTGATCGTCGAGTATGTACCCGTGTGTTTGGCAAAAAAAAAAGAAAAGAGTATGTACCCGTGTAGCATGTGCGGGCGTCCCAGGCCCAACTCCTTACCTCCAGGCTCCAGCCCATGTTTGGATGGTTTTAATGCGAATAGAACATACTACAGTACAAACAAAAAGACCACCACATTCTAAAAGACTAGCCGAGGATGACACTTTTCTTTATAAAATGGTCCTAACCTCTTTTTATAACCTAGGTGAGACTAAAATCACTAGTAACACCTAATGTCCCAGCAGCCTAACACAATGATAATAACTCTTATCAGAGGCTCCAGCCCATGTCGTCACCAACCTTTTATTTCCATTTGACTATAATCGAGCAGACACATTATTAGAAATGGTCTGCACCTTTTTTTTATCACACTAAGATGTCCATACATACACACATATATCCATCCCTGTGAACACATATGTATACCCTACTTCTATGAAAACCTTCGAGAAAGTGATCCGGCACGTCATCTTAAAAATCGACGAAATCGTCAGAGACGTATTTGTAGTTGACTGGAACGTCTTCTCTCACCAAATACATGTCGTTCAAACGCTGAAGTAAATTTTAAAAAATACGACATTCAACCCGAATCTAGGATTTAAACTTTGGTTGGTTGCTCTGAGTCTGACACACGAAAAATTAACCATCTGAGCTACACTTGGTATGCACCTTTATTCCGTGCTATGACACTATCTCGTGCGGCCGGATTATTGCATTTCCGCCCACCTAGATTGACTGAGCCAACGATCGGCGATGGTCAACGCTGCCGTGAAGTGACTGCCGAATTTAACTAAAACAGGGTGTTTATTTGCACAATTTAACATGGGTGTGTACCTGACTTCTTTATTTTATTCTTCTTTTTTGGGGCTGACACGGCACGCTCACCATTTCATTTCATTCTTTTCTTTCTGTCGGCGTAGCGGTGCTGCCAAGAGGAAAGAAACGTCCAACTTTTGCACAAAGGACCGGAAACCTTTTTAAGATGAACCTCAACCTTTTAGAATACCTTCTCTCGCCTGTCTCACACTTTGTAGTACACAAGAATTACCATCTTCTCTGGCATGGTGTGGCGTCATTAGCAAAGCTATGTAGCCTGTATTGTGTGCCGGAGACAAAAAGATGATCGCCCTTTTTATGATCTAAATGATTTAATATTTCTTTCCAGAGGGGGTACAAGACAATTATAGCTCCATCTCTACTATGTTTTCTTAAAGGATATATCATCTTCGATTTGATTTGGTTGTTTATGATCAATTTTGCAACCAAGAGCGGATCACTTCCTCTCAAAAAAAAGAAGAAGAAGAGTGGATCACCATCAGCTCATTAGCTTTCCACCTTTTCCTTTTTCTTTAGTGGTGATTAAGCATCTTTGGATTTGGTGTTCCTTATTATTTCCGTGTTAGCTAAGTAAGGGCATCTTCAACGCTAACCCTCAAAACACCCGCATTAGTTCGAACCATTCTGTCATTCACTGCAGTACCCTATCAATCCACGGAGCGGTCTGGACATCCGTTTTCCCGTAAATTGGAAGCAAACCGGGTGTAGGGGGCTTTGCGGGAGTCCGGACCGCCACCACATAGGACTCCGACACTCCCAACCCACTCAAAGACCCT